TTTCAGAATTTGAATTTAAAAAAGTCGAACAGAAAAAAAATTTGAAATTACGAATCTTGGTGCTGTCGGGGTACACTCGAAGGTTGCAGGCCTTTTTTTCAAAATATGCGGTTTTCTCATGAGTTCTCAAAAATTTTAAGCACCTGAGGTGCGTTATACGCTAGTTGGGTTTAATCGATTTTGGATTTAATTCTTATCCTATATTTTGTAAATTGACCAGTTTTGTATAGTTTTTTTTGTTATATTCGACCGGTTAACAGTTGTATTCGACCTAAATAGTTCTGGCTTAATTTATTTTGCTTAGACCTTTGTTTTTTGAATCTCAAAGCTTGAAAAGTTTTTATGAATGAAGGGCTGAAGTGGAGACCTCACGGGTAGTTTTAGCATGTAATTTTCAGCATGAAATCCTCCGATTGAAACCCAATTCGCAAAAGATTTTTGAAAATTTTGGTAGATAAAGTTTTTTTTACCTCGTTTATATATGTTTCGACTGAGTGATTCCGTCTCACTTTCGGCCGGTTTTCAATGCTATGTTTAAGATCATACGGAAATTGGTGAAAATTGTATGCACGTTGTTTTTCTTTTTTTTCTGTAAGTTTTAACTCATCTACAAGTGTTTTCGGAATAACCTATAAAGTTCAAAGTGTCACAGTTTGAATAATTTGCATAGAAAAACTTCAATTTTTTGCAAACCTAATCGGTCTACGAAATAACCAAAAAATTTCAAATTTTTATAGCTTCAAAAGCTTGCTTAGAAAAACTTAAATTTTTCGCGGACGAATTCATTCTATGAAATAAATTGAAATAAATCAAAGTTTCTTAGCTTTAAAAGCTTGCTTAGAAAAACTTTGAACTTTTTGCGAACCGATTTAGTCCACTTGCAAAATAACTTCGAAGTTTCATACAACTTCGAAATTTCGAAGTTTCATAGTTTGATTAGCTTGCTTCGAAAAACATAATTTTTTTGCGAACTGATTCGGTATATGAAATAACCTTAAATATTTCAAAAATGAAAAGCTCTTATAGCTTGCTTAGAAGAACTTCAATTTTCTGCAAAACTATTTGGTCTACGGAATAATCTGAAAAAGTTCAAAACTTCATAATTCGAATAGCTTGCTTAGAAAAACTTCAACTTTTCGCGAACCTAATCAGTCTACATAACGTGAAAAATTTCAAACTTTCGTAGTTTGAAAAGCTTGCTGAGAAAGCTTAAAGTTTTTCGCAAAACGATTCTATATATGAAGTAAATTGAATTAAAGCATTGTTTCAGAGCTTTAAAAGCTTGCTTAGAAAAACAAGCTTTTTGCGAACCGATTCAGCCTATGAATAACTTGAAAAAATTCAGAATTCCGTAGCTTCAAAAGCTTATTTAGAAATATTTTAATCTTTTTGTGTACCGTTTTAGCCTGAGAAATAATATGAATTATTCCAAATTTTAATAGCTGTAAAAGATTGCTGAGAAAAACTTTTAACTTTTCGCAAATCTATCAAAACCACTAAATAAATTGCAATATTTCAAAGTTTCAAAGCTTTAAAAGCTTGCTTTGAAAAATTTTAAATTTTTCTTGAATCATTTAACCCACGAAATATCTTGCTGAGAAAAACTTCAACTTTTCGCGAATCGATTCGGTCTACGAAACAACCTGAAAAAAAATTCAAAGTTTCATAGATCGATTTGCTTGGTTTAGAAAGCTTTAACTTCTGGCAAAAAACGATTCGGTCTTAGAGAGGATTTTTTTGAAGTTCCATGCTCCATTCGCTCGCGCAGAAAATTATTCAAGAAAGCTAAGAAAAAATCTGGAAATTACTTGAAAGGCTTCAACAGAAAAACAGTTTGCTATTCGGTTCACTTTTTCTAATAACTTGAATTTTTGAAAGTTCCAAAGCTTAAACAGCTGGATTGGAGAAAGCGAATTTTTCCAGTTTATGAAATAACTAGAAAAAAGTCAAATTGTCATAGCTCAATAGTTTGCTTCGAAAATCTTATACTTTTTGTGAACCAAATCAGTCTTTGCAATAACTTGGAAACGTTTTATATAGCTTGCATAGAAAAATTTTAGCCTTTTGCGAACCAGTTTGCTCTGTGAAGTAACTTGAAATTTTTAATAATTTGAACAGCTTGCTAAGAAAAACTTTTGCCTACTGATTCGCTCTAAGTAATAACGTGAGTTTTTCCAAAGTTTTCTTGCTTTAATAGCTTGCCTAAAAAATTACTTTTTTTGCGAATATTTTCGCTCTATGAAACAATTTGAAATGTCTCAATGTTTTGTCGCTTGAAAAGCTTCCATATAGAAACCTTAAGTTGCGCCATCCGATTTGCGTAATGATACACTTTGAAACATTTCTAAGTTTCATAGCTTGAATAGCTTGCTAAGAAAATCTTCAATTTTTCGGGAAACCGATATGGTTTAACTCGAAATTGTCAAAAATTCATTATTTGGATTGCTTGACCAGAACAACAACTAATATTTTGCAAGCCAATTGATTATTGGAGGCGGGCTTGCCAGTTAATATTACTAATAATAGATCTGGCAATGCCTCCAGGTCCTCTGGACTAAAAACTTTGGCACAATTATGAATGTGAATTAATACGAAAAATCACGTTTAGAATGGCGTTTAGAAATCAGTTTGACTGCTAACTTTTGTGGTTGCTTTTGATCAATTGATGGTAAAGTTACGTACTTTATAATTAGCTTTTTTTAAACTTTTGTTTGAATTGCTAGAAATGCTTTATATATCAATTTGTCACGAAACAAAATTTATTACCTTAGCAATAAGTTTTGTTCACAGGACTCATTTGTCTACTGGACTCAATCATCTTCTGACAAGTTCAATTTCTTGAAAGTTCAATTTAAGTACTCATTTAGGTAGTAATTAGTTAAAGCCCGTTTCAAGTTGTAAGTTTTTTTTAAAGAAGTAATATCTCATTTTTTTCAGATTCGTGGTTTTCGTCCTAGTTTCTGATGGTTTTATTTCGGTTTTTTAAACGCCATTAAAAAATGGTAGGTTTCTAACAGCTTACTTTTAATAAAAACATGCTACAATTTAAACGAGCTAATTTTTGTAAATTTACCAAGTCTTATTTTGAGCTTTTCACAAATAGTTTTTCCTTTAATAATTAAACAATTTCAGTTTATGTTATATCGGCTTAGTCAATTTATATTGCGTCATTTAGAGAGTGAAATATATCAGTATGCAATTATGTGTTTCAGTTTGGATGGGTCGTAATATTTTTTCAAAGTAATGAATTTTTTTATGGCAGCAGTTTTGTTTTCGGCTCAACTGGTTTCGACTCAACATTTGTCGCCTTTTTTGCCGCTCTCTAAATGATTTCCAACATTTTACAAAGGCTGTTTATGAACTTCATCTGATACAAACATGTAATTTGTTAGCTGTTATTTTCCAATTTTTGGCAAGTCATTTTTTCAAGTAATTTTTTCAAACCTAGTATTTCTGATTTTCTTACTTCTCTTTTTTTTCATTAAATGTTTTTGCATTTTTAATGTGATAATAATTGAGCAAGCCTTAAATCTCATAGAGATTGAATTTACTTGAAAATATGTACCCCTGCAATTAGCCAGTTATTGCAACCGGGCGCTAGAATGTTTTTTTCCCTTAACAACTTTGCCTTCAGGACCCGTCTGCTGAAATCTTCAACCTACTTTAGAAGTATATCAAGTTCAAGGTACTCTTATTGCCTGTTTAGCGTAAAAGAGCGTCCATACTTAGGTCGACAATGAAGCCAAAATTTTTGCAGTTTGAAACTTATTTTTGGGAAAAAGTTAAATTGTCGGGCTACCGTTTTCCTATATTTTTATCGATCTATTTTCTTAAGCATCAATTTTTCTGGTGTGAATAACTTTCATGTAAATTGAAATCTTTTTTTGATTTCACCCTTATGCTTCAACTTGTAAATCTACCAGTTTTGTACATAGTTTCATCTATCTGTCAAGACTATGTCTAATCGCATGTGACACGTATCTTGCCTAGTTTGAGCCTTTTTTCTGCACCATTTAAGGGCATAATGTATCTATGCGTGGTTAAGCTAATTTGTATACTGCAATGCTTAAGAATTCTTTTTTCGGTTTTCCAGCTTGAATCTAGTGTTTGTTCCACCGAATTAAAAGTTGGCAACACAATTGTGGAATGCTGTCATAGTTGCCCCGGGGGTTGCAAATTTGGTCTCAAATTATGAATGCCCAAATCATTTACGGCATATGAAATGCAAAATTTTTGTGTTTTCTTTTCAAATTTTTTCGAAAAACTTTATTTCCAAAATTCTTAATCCTGTGTTTAAAATTCTTAATCCTATAAAAATTTGAAATTACGAATCTGGGTGCTGTCGGGGTACACTCGAAGGTTGCAGGCCTTTTTTTCAAAATATGCAATTTTTTTATGAGTTCTCAAAAATTTGAAGCACCTGAGGTGCTTTATACGCAAGTTCGGTTTAATCCATTTTGGATTTAATCCTTATCCTATATTGTATAAATTTACCAGTTTTGTATAGTTTTTTTTGTTGTATTCGACCGCTAAACAGTTGTATTCGACCTAAATAGTTCTGGCCTAATTTATTTTGCATCTACTGAAATGCAAAATTTTGTTTAGACCTTTATGTTTTTTGAGTCTCAAAGCTTGAAAAGTTTTTATGAATGAAGGGCTGAAGTGGAGACCTCACGGGTAGTTTTAGCATGTAATTTTCAGCATGAAATCCTCCGATTGAAACCCAATTCGCAAAAGATTTATGAAAATTTTGGTAGATAAAGTTTTTTTACCTCGTTTATATATGTTTCGACTGAGTGATTCCGTCTCACTTTCGGCCGGTTTTCAATGCTATGTTTGTGATCATACGGAAATTGGTGAAAATTGTATGCACGTTGTTTTTCTTTTTTTCTGAAAGTTTAAACTCATCTACATGTGTTTGAAGATTGTTTTCTAATCTCAAAAAACACCTAAAGCATGTTAATGGATAATTATGCTAATCGCTACATGCATCTACTCACTCTGCTTGGTGTTGTTGCGAACATTCTCACACATGTCGCTCCACTCTCTGAGACTGGACACGTGCCAGCAGGAGAGACGGTCCACGTCCACAATCACAGGTGGCGTCTTGCTGTAGAAAATTAGCATGCTGTTGGGCGCATTGCTGCTTCTGAACACAAGAGAAGACAGAGTGACCTTGGCTTTTGTAGATGTATACTCATTGAAGGTGTATTAATCTCTAACCGTTAATAAAGAAAACGTAACAGAACGACTTAAATTCTTTGCGGTCACCAGCGCCGATGGGAACACTATGGTTTACCACCTCTATGATGCTGACCTTGGTACCATAACATAACAATGTAATACACAATACGTAATAACCATAAGTTACATAATACACCTCACTACAGCCTTGTTACCTTACGGTTATGACAGAGTGACCTTGGTTTTGTTAACTTACATCAATTTGAAATACTTCCTCCCCCTACAACAATTTGAAATGTTGGGTATTCAATTTTACTGCTTCAATAATATATAAGTAGTATAGTCATTTGTTCAAAATATTTGTCACTAATCTCCCATCACTTTTCGCCCTAGCAAGGCAAATGTTGAGGTCTCAAAGGGCTCCGTCGGTGTGTTTTTCGGAACACTCTTTCTTTACTGGCTCGGGTGTTTTTGTTAGCCCCTCCGAATCCTTGCGAGGACTTGTTAGCCCATCTTGTACATCGATTCCCGAGGGCTCGTCAGCCCTTGGACAATTCTGTTCCACATCTTCAGTAGATGAAAGGATAATTGGACTACTCTGCTCCAATACTCTTGCTCCTAAGTCCATTTTTACTCCGCTATTTTCCTCGGAGCTAGAGAACGGGACTATTCCCCAGTCTCTGGGTGCACTAAGACGATCGGCTCCGAAGCGTAGTTTGTGGGATTGCGCTTGGAACTGATAGTCCTTGTTAGGTTACTTATTCGGCTTTTTATGGCAGTAGTCAATCTGAAGAATTATCGATAATGATCGGAAATTTCGCTGATCCGGTAACTACAATTGCATCGTCCGCATTCCTGTCCTTTGCTTTTAGCAGATCTTTAGTAGTGTCTCGCGATTCCTTTAGCGCCGCTGCTTTCGGGGGATCTCTAGCTTTGTTCCCTTGCCGCACATCTGAACCCATTGGCTTATTACTGTGTGGTATTCGAGGTGTTTGCGTTTTCCCATGATACGAGGTTCTTTCACCTAAACTTATCTAAAAATGATATTCATGAATCACCTGTCCGTACGATCTATCTCCCGCGCATTTTCCGTCATAATTTCAAAAAAAGGTTCCGATTTTAATCGATCTTGTTTTTTTTTGAAATAGATGATATCCTTTTTTCTTGGCGCTCAAAACTGACGCTTTATTCGGTGCGGCATGAGTTGATGAGTTGTCCAGCACTGTACTCTTTCTGGGCCATCAACAGGTTATCTACCCGGCCATGCGTTCTATTGTAGTCTCATCGTCGGGTAATGTGTAATTCTGCATTACTTGAGCCGAAAACATCTTCTAATTCTTATCTGAGAAAAAAAAACAAAAAAAAAACATTTTCCAAGTCAAGTTATTCGCGGATGCAGGTTTAGTAACTGTATGCCAAACCTCATTCGAACGGCGAACAACGCATTGACTGATGAGTGTTTTTTTAAATACTAAACATTATCTCATTTAACGCCGTTTTAAAAACCAATTTTGGCTTTTGAAAAGAACAGCCCTTAAGGCGTTACCATATTGTTCGAATACACCGCTGCACGAGCTCTGTTGCCCGGTGATTACCCATGGGTGCAAATATTACTTGTGTATTCTATTTTGCGCAGAATCACTGTTGAATTTTCAACTGAATCCCGATCCTTGGTCTGTCCGGATTTTCCGCAATATTGGGTCTAACACAATATATTTTTCCATATATTCTTGAATAACTCTCCCTGTTGTTCTGATTGTATTTTGGATTTGGAGAAACGTAGAGAATCTATCCGTACAAATAAGTCAAAAGTTATTTGCAGCCCAATAACTATTATTTGCAGCCCAAGACTGCAAAAACCCGGTAACGGCATCAAAAAATTGAATTTGCTGATTCGGCTCTTCTAACACCTCAGTTTTCGTAACAACACCCTTGGGAATGACAGATTTCTAATTCTTACCGGTTTTGTTGCAGTCTCGATTTTCCCTTTCCACGTGCCTGAGTGACCTTTGTATAGCCTCATCACGTTGGGGTCCGCAATTGTGTCGGCATCGCAATCTTGTCGTTTAAGAATAATTTTTCGTTCGACTTGTGCAGCTTGTCGAGATAATTGGTAAAATAAGGGCCTAAGTCGCGAATTTCGTTTAAGTTATCCGATTGTAATGATTCAACAACACAGTTTAATATTTCGTCCGACTTAGTAAGAATAGCAATTATTTCAGCGTCGAAAGTTCCGGCCTTTCAAACAAAGTAACCGGAAACATTTTCAGTTGAAACAAGGTCGTTTCAGCCGACGGTGGTTTTGAGGAATTAGTACCATGGACGTTATTAGTCGGTAACTCACTGGTTTTCTGCTTTTTCTCAGTATTTGAAGTATCGAGATTCAACTTTATCAGATTCAACAGAGTACAATAGTTGCAATTTTTTGTAAGCGTGTGTGTCCAGTAGTACAAATTTTGATGGATTGAAAGTTTCGAAACGCGTCAGTTAGTTTCGTCGCGGCAACTTCTTTACGATGACGTAATTTTTGTTCCAATTTTCTTCCACCTATTACTTCATTATTTCGATCATGCTCAACAGTGTTTTGTTTAGCCGATGATTTCAGCAGCCTACTAATTGCAGTAACTTGTGGTACTACGAAAAGGTATAGTTCTGACAGTTTCGGTTTCACTCCCACTGCATGTCAAGACAAATAATCTACTAAAACCATATTCTTTCCTGGGATGTGTTGATCTTAATTGAACGGTAAAATTCGGTCTATCCTCGGTTCCCGGTATGTTCCCGTTTAGTGGTCACCCACAAAACTGAAGTTACATTGCCGGCTAGTGGCATCCCTTAGTTTCATCTGGGAATATACGTACATTAGATCAATGCTTAAGAACCAAATAGGAGCGGCAGTGTTTCCGCTAATCGCTAAAGCTCCGTTATGAACCAATTCATTCATTTTGGGCATCTGATAGCGATTCGCGTAGATCAGTTTTTTTATGTTTGAATTTAACGCTAATTTCATTGATCCATCGGGTTTGGCGATTATGAACATCGATAAAATAAAACAATTTTCCGTACAGTTTCCCAACTTCACATTGTGGCCCTCCTTTAGCAAATTATCGATGGCAATATGTGAATTGGAAGCTGTTTCCCTTTACCTGTATTGGGCGCCATGGTTCATGAAAATTCGTTATTACTTCACAGTTTTTCAGTACTCCTTTGCGTTCAAACAAGTCCATGAATTTTGCATAAGGAATTTAACGAACTTACGTTGAATTGGAGAGTATTGCATCCCCAAGCAGTCACTACCTGCTCTACCTCGTTGACTGAGCGAGCTATCGGCTTCTGCCGAAATTTCATTCCTAAGTGTGTTACGACATTATTACCAAGTAAATCTCTTTGGTTGCTCTCTTTAATAAACAGTTCAACTTTTTTGACAACCATGCTTCGGATCTAATATCGATAAAAAATCTTCAGATTATCTTGATTGTATCATCCGTCGCACTGTAGAATGCATTTTTCAAATGGCTCGGGACCGAAAAAATATAAATCTGTTCTTTGTTTTATTTTTGTGCAATTTCGTCTGTGAGTTAAAAGAGACCGGACTAGCGCAATTTATCTGCAATTCCGTATGTCAACGGTTTTTGTCCATTTGAACATCTAGTATTTTCCTATTTTCATTACCAGTTTTGTCCTGCACCTTTCCTATTGCGAATACGCCAATTTCCTCATCACCTTTCTCTTCATCGTTACATTCGTTTCGTATTGTTTAAATTCCGATTCGTCGATTTTACAATATTTCGCAATATTTCCATGCGCACTGCAGTTGTTACAAAGGGTATTTGTTTCAGAACTCGGTGTTCCCGAAGCTTCGGTTTTAACCAATGTCCACAATTATGACACTTGCTTTGCCTCTGGCCCCTCACCTCGTTCACTAGTTATCTTTTTATGTACCCTCACTGTTGGCCTCCCCTGTTATTCGGTCGCCCTGAGGCAAACTTACGTCTCCTGAACTTCGGCGGCCCCTGATAACTCTCTTATACATCTCTGTCACCTTATACATAACTCTCTTATATATCTCTCCCTCACCACTGTAAATTAAAACGCATCTGATGGTAGCAATGTTTCCATGCATAGCTGCTTACGAGTTTCTTCATTTCGCAAATTGAAAATAAACACGTCCCGAACTATGGACTCCTCCTTCGGACCAAAATTACAGCCGCGGGATAAATCACTGAATGCTCGTAGACTTGTTCCACCTCCTGGTTCTCCTGTTGTTTTCTTCCGAATAGAATAAATCTACGTTTAGTAACATTTGCTTCTTTCATAAAAGCATCTACAGTCAACTTCCACAACTCTGTGAAGTTTATTTGCACAAGCTAGGTTCAAGTGTAGCTCTGTCAAAAAAAAGATAGAAGCAACTTTGACTTTAGCCGTTTATCCGCTTTTTCCCTGGTAGTTACTTTAAACAATCTCTTCTCGTCGTCCGACCGGCGGCTTTCTTCTTCTCTCCACAATCGCACTGCTGTTTCGTTACGCGCCTCTCTCTCTCTCTCGCTTTTCTCACTTGACCTTCCTCCGTTCCATGTGGTTCTTCCAAGGCCAGGTACGCATTCTCAGGTACGGTATTTTCAGCAAATATATCGTCAATATCGATCTCTTCCTTGGCAATCACGATGAGTTGAAATTTTGCGCCCAACCTTCCCAGGGTACCGGCGGCTCTTGAGTCGGTCCATTCCAGAAAACATCCACTGAACGGTAGCTCGAATCCGTTTCTGACTGCGCCATGTAGAAGTATAATCATTGAAGGTGTAATAAGGTCTAATGGTTAATAAAGAAAACGTAAAAGAACAACTTAAATTATTTTCGGTCACCAGCGGCGCTGGCAACACGCATGGTTTACCACCACTATGATGCTGACCTTGGTAGCATAACAAAACATTGTAATACATAATACGTAAAAATCATAAAGTTCCATAATGCACCTCACTACATCCTTGTTACCTTACACTGAAGACAGAATGACCTTGGCCTTGTTACCTCACAGATATTCTGTAATATGTACCCTCTGTCATGAGAGGCACAATATCGATGCTTCGTAAATACTGAACAGGTTGTACGTCATAGTACTTTGCCACTTGGATATTTATAGTTTTAATAATTGCTAGAAAATATTGATCGAAAAGGATAGTCCAAAAAACAAACTATTTTTAGAGATTTCTGGCTGCGAAGAAATTGAGCAGATACAGTCTTGATGTAGATGAATAGATCAATGATAATTAACGTGAATAACGACAACGAATTCGTAGGAAAAAGATAATTTATGCTAAGGAAACAGTTTTTTATTTGGGAGGGTTGATTTGTTTTTTATATGTGGTCACCGTACCTGTCAAAGAGTTCCTCCATACTTCCCAAGATTCCCTTGCGAGAGTCGGCTCTAATGATTCCCTGCAATGGAAGAAATGGCATGATTCGCTCGTGGTTGTCCTTGAGACAAAATCTAGAACAGAAAACCAAAAATTTCGAAATCGAAATTGGTTGGTTTGAATCAAAAACCCATCAAGAAAAATGTTGCTTTAATTTCTTTGAAAAATCATACAAAAACAATTTTAAGGCAATATGTTTTTCAAGTTTTTTCAACACTCTGGCTGAGAAGTTTTTTTTCTAAATATTAATTAGTTTGGGCTCCGAAAAACACATTTTCATGAAGTCTTCTTGAAGTTAAATTAGTAAGATTTCCGGTTCTTAAGAATTTTGTTGCATAACAATAATTTTAACGAAGATTGGTAATAATTTTTTTGATTTATTCAGTCAACATAAGTATCATGGTCGGACGTGTACTTAAATATCTCTATCATGTGTATCACCATATTGTTTATGTCTTGAATCTTCTGTATGCTGGGACATATGAAACTAGTATTTCAGCTAGACCGAACATATGCGCTTCTAAATGTTGAGCTACTTTACCACTTTGTAAACAGTAGGATCTACCAGAACATATATCAAATTCTTAAAACATGTCCCGATATTTCCCGATTCCTTTATGCTTTTAGACCATTCATTTTGACACGAGCGATCAGCTTAGTATATTATTACGAACTGAGTTATGACCGAAGTGTAACTCATAGAGTAATTTCGGATAGGGTACACCGTCTGCTCGTCACGCTATCTTATTTTCGGCCGGATAGATTCGTGCAACTTCTTAGTCTAATACCGATCCTAATCTTACTCTTATACTATCTAGTCTCAGGTTGTTTAACTAGTCTCTGCTAGGCTCAATAGATCTAGGGTATACTGGTTTATTGCGGCTGCTGAAGTGCTCGGGAGAGTCCAACTAATTTCTAAGTTAAATTCAAATCTCTCTGGTGCTGAAATTACAAGTAACTTCAGCACTTACAAATAAGTGGGTTGTTAGTTAGATGGATCATGATTGGTTAATATTAAATACTTTACATTGGTAAAACATTTAATTTATCCAATCATAAAATATAGTTTAGATCAGGTTCCACCCATCCGGGTTTTACAGAGTTTTTTAGAACAGTTCTTCTGTAATTCAAGGATGGATGATGGACGTTGGTATTTGGCGAACATCATATTTCTTTCGCTTCTTCTTGTGACAACGACTGAGTCTCTGCAACAAAGTCAATTCTGATTCCAGAATGGTTGGCTATGTCAGGTTTTTCTGTTCTGCGTGGAGAACTTCTTTTGTGTATGATCTAGTTTGGGAATGGCGTGGAGATTGTGCGTGGAGGGGATGCCTGGTTACTCGGATCTGTACGTATACTTGAACATCGAGGTGGTCATTGGTCTAGTTCAATGAAGTCCTTTTCTGCGAGGTCAAGTCGTACTCTAAATCCTTTGAGTTGTGATTGTGAGCGGCATATCGATTGTAGTTGGTCATTCTCTCTCGAGTGTAGTGAGGTCGTCTTGTCTTTTGATGTTCGTCCTTGGTGTTGTATTCTGATCTATATATTGCATCATGTGATTTTACATTTTATAAAACTCTTATTAGTTTAATATTTTTTAATAATGATTTTAGTTAGTTGTTTTCACAAAAGCTTTTTGTTTTAGTTCGGTTATTTTGAAGAGTTACTCACCCTTGAGTAGCTCTTATTAAAAATAAAGGTGTGGTCACAAAGCGTGGATGTAGCGCGGTGGGTTAGGCCGGCTATAGAGCATGCTCAGGACGTCCTTTCCTGGTGGGTTAGGCCAGGAGTGGGAGTATGATTTCATGCGGTGTTTGTGAGGGGTCCTGTTATGTGACAACGTTTTATGTTGGGTTTGTTGTGGTTTTACTTATGTCTTGTTGGTTATGTACTTTTTCCAAAAAGCAAATTGTTTGTGGTATGGGTTTGTCTTTCGACTTTTTTGTGTTTTATTATTTCTTTCTAAGACTTTGTAATAGTCTTCAAAAGAATAAATTATCCAGTTTTAAACTGGGTTAATCCGGTTTGGGTACCGTTGGTTTCCTTTTCTAAGTCATGCTGTTATTCTATGATTTGTGGTATTTAGTAAGCTGCGTTGGTTAGTTTTGTTTAGTATATGATTCCTTTCCAACCGGGTTAAAGGAAAGTTTGAAACATGTTATTGTATGTTAGAGTTGTTGAGTGTGAAAACTTGAAACTGAAATTCATTATTTTAAACAATTCTTCGTGGGCGAGCTGTGCGAGTGTGGATAGAATTTCTGTGCGAATGAATGAAAATATCAAAAGGTTAGTACTGCAATTGCATTTTATTAATTTACTGCATAGAATTTGGAAATTTACTGCTAGTTATGGGGGAATTTTAAGATACAAATTTTCATCATAATTAGATTTACTGCTTTGGGGGAAAAGATTATAGATGAATTTATTGCATTGATATTAAATTTAGAAATTTATAAGTGTAGGAGATTAAGAGAATTTTAAAATTGTTTGATGAAGATTGTGATTTTTATTGTTTCTTTTGTGGTTTTTGTAGGTGATTGTCGGATGAAAGCTAAAAATCTAATGAAAACATGAATAAAGAATGGTGAGTTTTTTAATATTTCAATTAGTTAGTTATATTCATTTAATTCATACTTACCTGTTAGTCGTCGGGGAAAAAACCGTGGGGGAAGATGTCGTGAATTAGTTCTGAAGTTGTTAGTAGTTTAGCTAAGATGCGGATGATATTTTTAGTTTGAAGCAGTGGCCAAAGCAATTGAAGTGCCTTAATAGTGGTTAGTTCTTCAGTGCCTACTGCAAACTCATAAGGTGTGTTTTGGATTAAGTTATATAATTTGTGGTTAAATTTAGTGTTGTGGATGAATTCTAAAATTGGGATTTCTATAGGTTGTAGGAATTCGTGCGGGATAAGGAAGGGTCGGGATTCTTCGGCGTTGAAGGTCTTGGTGATGGGGCAGAAAATGTACATTTGGGTTATGGGGTCATAATTACGAAGAATACCATGGAGGTTAGTGTCTTTAATACAATATGTGAAATTTAGGAAATATGGTGAAGTGTATTTTGAATTGATGAATTGGAAACGATGGTGTGGTTGTCTAGAGGGTGTGTGGAGGTCAAAGTGATTTTGGATGAAACGATAGTAACTGTATGTATGTGTTTGTTTAGTGCGCAACATAATATCGTGTGAGCAGTGTAAATCTCTTTCGTGTGGTGCAAGGAAATGAAAGGTTAGTGAAAATATTTGGAAGCGTTCTTTAAAACTTTCGTATGCTTGTGTGTCTGTTAGTGCTTCTGAAATAATGTGATCAAACTTGCGGTCGAAGATGTTTAGTGTAAATATATATGGTGTCTTGATGAAAAATTTCTCGGTGATTTGTGGATTAGCGAAGCGATCGTCGTCTAAGAATTGATCTTGGTTAGCTCTAATGATGTTGTGATCGTAGTATTCTAGTGTATATTCATTAGCTCTAGGTGCAGTGTGTATTTTTAGTGATTTTTTATATCCAACGTAAGTAAATTGTCTAGCGGTTAGTGGTGTAGTTAGTCGATATAGCATGTCTTTGTTTCGGTCTATATCGATGGCAGTGCTGGATAAAGGTAAGCAAAGAGGGTTAGTGAAATGATAGTATGAGGTCCAAGAGAGAGTGGGCATTAAAACGTATTCATCTACAAAGTTGCGTGTTTCGTTAGCGTCGTGAGGGGTGTTTAAGGTGTATTGTGGAAATGAGGGTAAAGTGATAGCTAAAAATTCTTTAGTGTTAGTATGCTGGGGGTGGTTGATGTATTCACGGGCTGTTCCTGGTTTTGCTGGGAAAGGATGGTTGGGGAATTTTCTTTTAAAAGTGCGGTAAGCTCTATTAGTGTTTAGTGAAGATATAGTGGATGTGGATGATGGTGTTAATGATTCAGTATAATTTGAAGAGGGTGTAGGGGGATTGGATGAATTTGTAGTGGAGGAGATTTGGTTTATGGTCGGGGTGTTAAGGTGGTAGGGTTGCTGTTGGAGGGTAATAAAATTATCTAGCTCTGGGGAGATTCGGGGGGTGTCTGGAGAATGAGATGATTGGTCAGATTGGTATGAGGAGTAGGTTGGGGTAACTTGGGAAGCATAAGAGGGTGTCGGAGTGATTGGGTCAGGGTTATTTGACAATATGGGTTGAAAAGGAGGTTGAGAAAAATTAGAAGGGTTATGAAAATTATTGGATGGGGATGGTTCTGAGTCGGCAAATTCATCGGGGGTTTCAATATTCGGGTTATTTAGCTGTGAGATGGAGTATAAAACTGAAATATGTGAGTTAGTGTCGGAATTCATGCCTGATGTTACATTGCTAGATGGAAAATCGGGTGGCGGAAAAGCAAAAAGTGGTATGATTGGGATTGAAGAGGTAAGATTGGTTGGATGGGAATTTGATCGGTGTAGTGATCCAAGTTGGCGGCTCATCGTGGGCTAAAAAAATTATTATTTTGAGATTGAAAAGCGGTGGTATGGGGCTGTTCAATAATTTGTTCATAAGTATTATCATCTTGTGATTGATGTGTCATTATATGTTGGACGGGACTTTGCGATGTATTGAGTCGAAAATTTGGATTATGTGTGATTGCTAAATTTCGAAAATTTCGTGGGACTAGGGATAGTGGATGATTATTTGGTAGGGGTGGTAGTTGTGGTGCCGTTGGCTGTGTGTCGACATTGTTATGTTCTTCGTCGTATGTATTTTGTCGTGTTGTTATTTTTGTGTTATATTCTTTTATTTGTGCGTCTAAAAGAATTTTGTTTATAGATGTGGAAAAAATTCCAAAAAATCCTGCAAAGAGTATGCGTGCTACGCTTGCTTGTCTGTTTACTTGTGTGTGTATAGCACATGTGTTGTAGATTCCTTTTAAGAGTGAGAAAAGAAATCCAATAAAGTTAAACATTGCGTATAAAATAGTCAATTTTTCTAAGATGTAGTAGGGCCATCCTAGAAAATCTAGGATCTCATTTTTGAGTGTAACAAAGCTAAAAATGTTAATTGGTGATATATCTTGGGGACGGTATTTTTCGCCGTTTAGATATATATAATCTTTAATGTCT